CAGCTGCTTACAAAACTTCACAAGGAACAAAACAAAATGGCAGCAGAAGCAGCAGAAGCAGCAGAAGCAACAACACACACCAAAAAAAAAACGACGACAACGACGACGACGACAACGACGAAGGAGGAAGGACGAAAACTAAGGAGGAAGGACGAAGGACAAAGGACGAATGTCGAAGGACGAGGACGAACACACATTCCTGGTGACCAGTTGTGTATGTTTACCGTTTTTGGTCTCCCCGCTATTGTTCTTGGAGGCCTGGACAATTGGTTGCTCAAAAAGTCTATGTGTAATTGTATAGATGCAATATAATAGAATATAGTAGAATATAATATAATAGAATATAATATAATATAATACAATACAATATAATATAATATAATATAATGCAATGTAATGTAATATAATATGATATGATATAGTGTATACATTAATATAATATAATGTAACATAATATAATGTAATATAATATAATGCAATGTAATATATAGTATAATGTTCTATAAAATAACATGATCTTATATATATATATACTTATATATATATAATAATAATATAATACAATACAATATAGTAGAATACAATACAATATTAAATTATACCAGCGTTGACCCCAAGCAGATGTAGAAATTTTAAATTATATTGTACATGCGAACCAAGGAACCCAGGGTGGGAGACAAGTGTGGGAGACAAGTGGGAGACAAGTGTAAACTCAGCCCAAAGAACCCACAGTGGGAGACAAGTGTGGGAAACAAGAGTGGGACACAAGTGTGGGAGACAAGTGTGGGAGAAAAGTGGGAGACAAGTGTAAACTCAGGCGCACCCAGACATCCAGAGTGGGAGATACGTGTGGGAGACAAGTGGGAGACAAGTGTAAAATCATGGGGCCCAAGGCACCCAGAGTGAAAGACAAGTGTGGGAGACAAGTGGAAGACAAGAGTAAAATCATGCGGCCCAAGGCACCCAGAGTGGGAGATAAGTGTGGAAGACAGGTGTGGGAGACAAGTGGGAGACAATTGTAAAATCATGCGGCCCAAGACACCCAGAGTGAGAGACAAGTGTGGGAGACAAGTGGGAGACAAGTGTAAACTCATGCGGCCCAAGGCAACCAGAGTGGGAGACAAGTGTGGGAGACAAGTGGGAAACAAGTGTAAACTCATGCGGCCCAAGGCACCCAAGTGTGAGGGACAAGTGAGAGACAAGTGTAAAATCATGCGGCCCAAGGCACCCAGAGTGGGAGACAAGTGTGGGAGACAAGTGGGAGACAAGTGTAGACTCATGCGGCCAAAGGCACCCAGAGTGGGAGACAAGTGTGGGAGACAAGGGGGAGACAAGTGTAAACTCATGCGGCCCAAGAAACCCAGAGTGGCAGACAAGTGTGGGAGACAAGTGTGGGAGACAAGTGTGGGAGACAAGTGTGGGAGACAAGTGGGAGACAAGTGTAAACTCATGCGCTCCCAGACATCCAGAGTGGGAGACACGTGTGGGAAACAACCCAAGACACCCGGAGTGGGAGACAAGTGTGGGAGACAAGTGGAAGACAAGTGTAAACTCATGCGGCCCAAGGCACCCAGACTGGGAGACATGTGTGGGAGACAAGTGGGAAACAAGTGGGAGACAAGTGGGAGACAAGTGTAAACTCATGTGGCCCAAGACACCCAGAGTGAAAGACAAGTGTGGGAGACAAGTGGAAGACAAGTGTAAACTCATGCGGCCCAAGGCACCCAGAGTGCGAGACAAGTGTGAAAGACAAGTGGGAGACAAGTGTAAAATCATGCGGCCCAAGGCACCCAGAGTGAAAGACAAGTGTGGGAGACAAGTGGGAGACAAGAGTAAAATCATGCGGCCCAAGGCACCCAGAGTGGGAGATAAGTGTGGAAGACAAGTGTGGGAGACAAGTGTAGACTCATGCAGCCCAAAGAACCCAGAGTGGGAGACAAGTGTGGGAGACAAGTGTAAACTCATGCGGCCCAAGGCAACCAGAGTGGGAGACAAGTGTGGGAGACAAGTGGGAATCAAGTGGGAGACAAGTGCAAACTCATGCGGCCCCAAGGCACCCAGAGTGGGAGACAAGTGTGGGAGACAAGTGTAAAATCATGCGGCCCAAGACACCCAGAGTGAAAGACAAGTGTGGGAGACAAGTGGAAGACAAGTGTAAACTCATGCAGCCCAAGGAAACCAGAGTGTGAGGGACAAGCGGGAGACAAGTGTAAAATGATGCGGCCCAAGGCACCCAGAGTGGGAGACAAGTGCGGAAGACAAGTGGAAGACAAGTGTAAACTCATGCGGCCCAAGGCACCCAGAGTGGGAGACAAGTGTGGGAGATAAGTGTGGGAGACAAAAGTGGGAGAGAAGTGTAAACTCATGCGGCCCAAGGCACCCAGAGTGGGAGACAAGTGTGGAAGATAAGTGTGGGAGACAAGTGTAAACTCATGCGGCCCAAGGCACCCAGAGTGCGAGACAAGTGTGGGAAACAAGTGTGGGAGACAAGTGGGAGACAAGTGTAAACTCATGCGGCCCAAGATACCCAGAGTGGGAGACAAGTGTGGAAGACAAGTGTAGGAGACAAGTGTAAACTCATGCGGCCCAAGGCACCCAGAGTGGGCGACAAGTGCGGGAGACAAGTGGGAGACAAGTGTAACATGCGGCCCAAGGCACCCAGAGTCGGAGACAAGTGTGGGAGACAAGTGGAAGACGAGTGTAAACTCATGCGGCCCAAGGCACCCAAGTGTGAGGGACAAGTGGGAGACAAGTGTAAAATCATTCGGCCCAAGGCACCCAGAGTGGGAGACAAGTGCGGAAGACAAGTGGGAGACAAGTGTAAACTCATGCGGCCCAAGGCACCTTGAGTGGGAGACAAGTGTGGGAGACAAGTGGGAGACAAGTGTAAACTCATGCGGCCCAAGGCACCCAGAGTGGGAGACAAGTGTGGAAGACAAGTGTAGGAGACAAGTGTAAACTCATGCGGCCCAAGGCACCCAGAGTGGGCGACAAGTGCGGGAGACAAGTGGGAGACAAGTGTAACATGCGGCCCAAGGCACCCAGAGTCGGAGACAAGTGTGGGAGACAAGTGGAAGACGAGTGTAAACTCATGCGGCCCAAGGCACCCAAGTGTGAGGGACAAGTTGGAGACAAGTGTAAAATCATTCGGCCCAAGGCACCCAGAGTGGGAGACAAGTGCGGAAGACAAGTGGGAGACAAGTGTAAACTTATGCGGCCCAAGGCACCTTGAGTGGGAGACAAGTGTGGGAGACAAATGGAAGACAAGTGTAAACTCATGCGGCCCAAGGCACCCAGAGTGCGAGACAAGTGTGGGAAACAAGTGGGAGACAAGTGTAAACTCATGCGGCCCAAGACACCCAGAGTGGAAACAAGTGTGGAAGACAAGTTTAGGAGACAAGTGTAAACTCATGCGGCCCAAGGCACCCAGAGTGGGAGACAAGTGTGAAGGACAAGTGGGAGACCAGTGTAAACTCATGCGGCCCAAGGCACCCAGAGTGGGAGACAAGTGTGGAAGACAAGTGTGGGAGACAAGTGTAAACTCATGCGGCCCAAGGCACCCAGAGTGCGAGACAAGTGTAGGAGACAAGTGTAAACTCATGCGGCCCAAGGCACCCAGAGTGGGGGAGACAAGTGTAAAATCATGCGGCCCAAGGCACCCAGAGTGAAAGACAAGTGTGGGAGACAAGTGTGAGAGACAAGTGTAAACTCATGCGGCCCAAGGCAACCAGAGTGGGAGACAAGTGTGGAAGACAAGTGTGGGAGACAAGTGTAAACTCATGCGGCCCAAGGCACCCAGAGTGGGAGACAAGTGGGAGACAAGTGTAAACTCATGCGGCCCAAGGCACCCAGAGTGGGAGACAAGTGTGGGAGACAAGTGTGGGAGACAAATGGAAGACAAGTGTAGACTCATGCGGCCCAAGGCACCCAGAGTGCGAGACAAGTGTGGGAGACAAGTGTAGGAGACAAGTGTAAACTCATGCGGCCCAAGACACCCAGAGTGGGAGACAAGTGTGGAAGACAAGTGTAGGAGACAAGTGTAAACTCATGCGGCCCAAGGCACCCAGAGTGGGAGACAAGTGCGGGAGACAAGTGGGAGACAAGTGTAAACTCATGCGGCCCAAGGCACCCAGAGTGGGAGACAAGTGTGAGGGACAAGTGTGGGAGACAAGTGTAAACTCATGCGGCCCAAGGCACCCAGAGTGGGAGACAAGTGTGAGGGACAAGTGTGGGAGACAAGTGTAGACTCATGCGGCCCAAGACACCCAGAGTGGGAGACAAGTGTGGAAGACAAGTGGAAGACAGGTGTAAACTCATGCGGCCCAAGGCACCCAGAGAATGCGGCCCAGGGATGCAACCCTTTGAAAGGAGTAAGAACCCCATACAGGTAAACCTGTTTGCGGAACAAAAAATGATATGACATAATATAATGTACGGTAAGTAATGTAGTATAATGTAATGTAACGTTACATGATATAATATAATACAATATAAATACAATATACTAAAATATCATGTCATATCATATCATATCATATCACATCATATCATATACGATCCAATTTTGGGCATGAAACCTGCGATTTTTGACAGGAGTGGCCCTAGGTAGTCAGATCAGATCAAGGTGTGCAGCACATGCTGAAGCTGCCAGCGTATGTTTTCCTCGCGCAGAGATGCACTGCAGGGCGGCTTTTCCTCAAATGGCGCGGGTTAAGGCAAATGAACGAGTACCACTGGCACAGTGGAAAGTTGGCGAAGCAATTGCCACGGGATTCTTTTTTCTTCTCACTGGGCCCATGCTGCTTCAGTACATGTTCACTCTTTTCTGGTCAAAAAGTTTAAGGTCAGTGCGAGAGTGGCATCTTGGTAGATTATCTTAGGGCTTGGAGCTGGCTGGGATATTCAAAAGGGGTGCAAAATTAAATTGGCATTGTTTTTCTTTTTTTGGCAAAAAAAGAATTGCCCTCCATTCAAAAGTCCAGCGGAACTAAGCTCGTAAGGTGCAAGTTTTTGAAACAGGCCGCACGTTTCGACTTTTTGAAAAGCAAAGTTGTGCCGATGCATGGCACGCACGATTCTGGGTGGAGACTTATGGCAATCTAAAACTTTTGCAACAAAGCTGTATCTAATCAATATGTGTAAAGATCACTGGCTGAGTCGCACTTTGTTCAAGATGTACATGTTCAATCTGAGCACGATCGACTTTGACTCGGCTCAGCTGAGAGTGGATTAGCACCATTTTAAAAGCCCTGGCCGTTTGAAGAGTTCAAAATCTTTGCGGGAGCCAGCTTTGAAACAAGTGCCTGGATCCAGAATTATGGCCAAAGGGGTTGCGGGGGAATGCGCTTCAAAATTGGCAAACGTTGTAAAAAAAATCATGGGTCTGAATCAGTTGCAGCCAGTTCCTTGTTTGGGCACCCGCACTGGATGCCAGTTTCCTAGCGCACCAAAAAAGACTCGAAGTGAAACCCCGGTAGCTTCTTGTTGGGGTTTTGCGGGCGTATCAAGTTTCAGCTCACTCATCAATGGCATTCATCATCAAAGATCATCCTCTTAGGTAGGCACCAGAACTGCTGCCACAACGGTGCTCCAATGCCTGACACCGCAGGGTCAGTGGCCGGTGGAGCTGACGCTCCGAGATTGGATCAAGCAAGCACTAAGCAGCACTCATGTGGCCTTCTCAGCGCCAGTGGTGCGTGCAGTGTTAGGCGGTCTCGTTCGTCATGCCAGCTGGGAAATTGGAGCAGTGCGATGCTGCCTAGTCATACTGTCATAACATGCCGCTGATGCTGATGCTGATGGCCTGGGGACCATTTTCTGCATCCAACACCTCATGATTCGTGACATCGGCAGTGCGCCGGTCAAACACCAGACCGATGATGTTGCCCAAAAAAAGCCATGATGAAATTGTTCAATCCATCAGCCCATATCTGTCAGTTCATTATGCTGTGCTTCGGTTGACCAGTCAAGGCTCCCTTTGCATGGTGCCCTTCAAGTGGTTGGACCTTCTGAAAAGGGGACCAACGAACAACCATTGTTGAGGACACTCCAGCACACCGATAATCATGCGCATGACATCTCAGCCTGAGTGGCAAGCAATGGCACATAACTGCCGTGATTTCCAGCACCCAAACCGACATTTCGCAGCCAAGCCCACTGAAACATGCCTTCTGTGGCGTGCTCCACTCAACCCATTCCAAGTCGCACCCGAGATCTGGCCCAGAACAGATGGCTGACTGCATCTGACTCTGATAGATCTGACAGATCTGAGAATCTGATAGATGCGCATCCTGCGAGTGATGTGCTGCTTGCTAGCGTGGCGGAGCAAAATATGGCACGGCCACAGCTGCAGCTCTTAAGGCGCAGCCCTCAAAGTTGTTGAAAGATCGGATTGAAGGTAGAGGAGCAAAATGAAATGCAAACAGCTTGGAGCACAACAGAAGTTCTTCTTGGCTGCAAGCGCAGAGTCGCTTTACGCATTCTTTCTTCTGTTTTCAAGCATCCTCTGCACCAACACGATAAAGACCAGGCCGATTTGAAGCACTTGAAAAAACTCTGCAGGCCGTGCCCCAAGGCTTTACGAAACCGGTGGATCTAGCAGCACTTATGGCGCTCCTACAATCACACCTGTCAAAACAATAGCAGCAAACTCTGCATCAAAACTCAACAAAGGCAGGGGGACTTCTGGTCTCGTCTCATACCTCTCCGACTCAATTGCTTGACTGCATGACTCCATCTGAGATTTTCGGACAAGAAAAGTTTCTCTTGGCTGCAAGCGCAGAATCGCTTTATGCATTCTTTCTTCTGTTTTCAAGCCTCGGGCCGATTCGACCGTCGGGAGGCTTCAGTGACTTGCAAAAACGTCAGGATTTTGAAGGCCGTGCTCCAAGGCGTCACAAAACCGTTGGATTTGGCACTTGTGGCTCTCCTACAACCATCCGTTTCAAACAAAATTCCCGGCTGCTATTTTTCAAAACTAGACCATCAACCACAAGGCGGAACGATCAATACTGTATTCTGCGCCTGTCTGACCAATGCAAAGGGAAATGCTGGTCTCGTCTCATACCTGTCTAAATCAGCTACATGACTGCATGACTCACGTTTCAAACAAAATCTTCGGATGCTTTTATTATTGCATTCTGTGCGTGTCTGCCCAATGCAAGCGGAAATGGCGCTCTCCGCTCATACCTCTCCAAATCAACCGCTTGAACATATGATTCCATCTCAACTTTTGGACAACGAAGTTTTTCTTGGCTGCAAGCGCAGAGTCGCTTCATGCAGTCTTTCTCCTGTTTTCAAGCATCCTCCGAACCAACAAGGTCGGGAGGCGTCAGCGACTCGAAAAAACGCCCGAGTTTTGAAGGCCATGCCCCAGGGCTTCACGAAACCGTTAACCACCGGTTTCATAGGCGACGCGATCTCAACTACAATCAGTGCGTGTCTGTCCAACGCAAGGCGACTGCTGGTCTCGTCTCATACCTCTCCAAATCAACCGCATGACTGCATGGCTCTGCCTTGATTTTTTGGACAGCAAGAGTTTCTCTTGGCTGCAAGCGCAGAGTCGCTTCATGCAGTCTTTCTCCTGTTTTCAAGCATCCTCCGAACCAACAAGGTCGGGAGGCGTCAGCGACTCGAAAAAACGCCCGAGTTTTGAAGGCCATGCCCCAGGGCTTCACGAAAAGCTCCAGCCGAACCGGCCGGGGTTTCTGCCGGTGAGCCACCAGAAACGAACACGGCAGTGTCGAGAGGATGATGTGATCATCCATCACCACCCTAAGATTCAAGGACTGATGCCATGAAAGGGATTTTGGTTCAGAAATATCTCAAACTGGGAGAAGGTTCAAACTAACAGACGAACCATGGAGTTACAGCAAACTTGTCAATAACCGGGTTTCAGATTCAGAGGTTTGCTGTCCAAGTCAACAATGGGAACCTCCAGGAAAGGTATTTGGTTTCTGTAGCACCTGTCCGACAAAAAACGTTTTCCGTTTCTCCCATCTTTTCCGATTCAGGTTTTGAGTTTCCGAAGCCCTCGGTTTTAGTTTATGATTCACGGTTCTTGACAGTCAGTGGCATCTTGAAGGGTGGCAACTGAACCTCTTGTTCTTTCAAGATCTTGCGGAGAACGAAATTAGGTTCAGAACCACACGAAAAAGACCAGAGGAGAACTCAGAATCGGAGTTCATTGAGCTCAAGCTCAAGAACTCAAACTCGATTGTGAATTTCATGCTCACAATGATCACAATGGTCTACTGTGAGCAATATCCTAAAGTGCCATCAAATGGGTGGTCTGAAGACAGCTGGCGCAAGGACACATTCAGAACGGCTGCATCGGGACAGTCTGTGGCATCTTGAAGGGTGGCAACTGAACCTCTTGTTCTTTCAAGATCTTGCGGAGAACAAAATTAGGTTCAGAACCACACGAAAAAGACCAGAGGAGAACTCAGAATCGGAGTTCATTGAGTTCAAGCTCAAGAACTCAAACTCGATTGTGAATTTCATGCCCACAATCCCAGAGGATCCATGTATGGAATATTTACCTACATTGGGATTCCTAAAGAATATTTACCTACATTGATCCCTAAAGTAATTTAAAATAATCCCAATGTAGGTAAATATTCCATACATGGATCCTTAGGGAATGATCACAATGTTCTACTGTGAGCAATATCCTAAAGTGCCACCAAATGGGTGGTCTGAAGACAGCTGGCGCAAGGACACAACAGAACGGCTGCATCGGGACAGTCTGTGGCATCTTGAAGGGTGAACCACTGAGGTCAAAGACATGTCATGTTCAGAAAAGATGGTTTTGGGATTTCCAAAATACACCGGTGGCTTTTGACCGTGACTATCGCTTTTTCAAGTAACCGATTGCCCATCTCTCTCTGCTCAATCTTCCAACAGCCGCTCATCCACCTGCGGCAATTTGTTCAAGCCAACACAAAATACGGGTGGTGCAGATGCGAGGCAGTCTGTGGTCGACCTTACCTCAAAAATAACTTTGGGGAGGTTCTGATAAAGTTTCACTCAACATCGAAGCGTATTCCGGACGCTTCAAGGTTAGTTGTCCCCTCAAATCCTGCAGTTCGGTGTGAAATGCCATTGCATCCAGCAAGTTTCATGGTTCAGCCGTCCCATCACTGTTGCCCAAACTGCCCCAACGCATACTAAGGGTGAAAAAGACCAGAGGAGAACTCAGAATCGGAGTTCATTGAGCTCAAGCTCAAGAACTCAAACTCGATTGTGAATTTCATGCTCACAATGATCACAATGGTCTACTGTGAGCAATATCCTAAAGTGCCACCAAATGGGTGGTCTGAAGACAGCTGGCGCAAGGACACAACAGAACGGCTGCATCGGGACAGTCTGTGGCATCTTGAAGGGTGAACCACTGAGGTCAAAGACATGTCATGTTCAGAAAAGATGGTTTTGGGATTTCCAAAATACACCGGTGGCTTTTGACCGTGACTATCGCTTTTTCAAGTAACCGATTGCCCATCTCTCTCTGCTCAATCTTCCAACAGCCGCTCATCCACCTGCGGCAATTTGTTCAAGCCAACACAAAATACGGGTGGTGCAGATGCGAGGCAGTCTGTGGTCGACCTTACCTCAAAAATAACTTTGGGGAGGTTCTGATAAAGTTTCACTCAACATCGAAGCGTATTCCGGACGCTTCAAGGTTAGTTGTCCCCTCAAATCCTGCAGTTCGGTGTGAAATGCCATTGCATCCAGCAAGTTTCATGGTTCAGCCGTCCCATCACTGTTGCCCAAACTGCCCCAACGCATCGCCTTGGAGTTAGCGAACTTGCATACTAAGGGTGAAAGAGAAAGGAGTCACGATGTCAGTGGTATTGCAACTAACGCACATTTCCCGCAAGCGTCGGCAAATTTTTGGTTGGCCACCGGTAACTTTCCTGCCCGTAGACTGCATGTGGAGGAAGGTAAAAGATCTCTTGCCTTTTGTAACGTTTGAGAGCCAATCTACCGCATTCCCCAACATCGGACCATTTAGTTGTGTGGAGGGGCGTATTCCGGACGCTTCAAGGTTAGTTTGTCCCCTCAAATCCTGCAGTTTGGTGTGAAATGCCATTGCATCCAGCAAGTTTCATGGCCCGAAAGCGTCGGCAAATTTTTGGTTGGCCACCGGTAACTTTCCTGCCCGTAGACTGCATGTGGAGGAAGGTGAAAAAGAGCTCTTGCCTTTTGTGACGTTTGAGAGCCAATCTACCGCATTCCCAAACATCGGACCATTTAGTTCTGCGGAGGGCTGTGGATCAACCCCTGAACTGAGAAGCGCTGGGTGCACTAAACTGAGCTGTACGAACTGGGATCAAGCGATATATGAAAACACCGCACTTCCACGTGCATCACCAGGCTTCACTGCATCTTGCGGTTTCATCCCTAGAAGCACAAAGAAAACGTGCGTCTCGTCACAGTCTGTGAGTGTGACGAGCCCTTTGAAAAGGCTCCGCCGTTCCTTGAAGTGAAAGCTCTTCATCCTCTGAACGAAGGTGTTGTACAACCCTTCAATGACCCAGGAACTTCATGGAACTTCCACGCACGGTATTTGTTGTTTCAAGTGGATCGTGGGATCACGCCGAGTTGTGGCAAGTACTTACGGCTTGAGTGTTCAGCTTCTGCGCCTACGGTCCGACGGTCCGCTTCAACTTTCAGAAAACTGAATGCAGCTTGGTTTCCAATCGGCACCTGTCATGATCTCACAAGCATCTGACAGGCGCGGCTGTCTGAAACCACACCTCCAAGTTGGATCTGAAATCATGGGCTATCCGAATGCTCACCTGCCATGCCCTTTCCAGTCATGCCATGATCAGGGCCACAGCGGAAGGCAACGCCCGCATTTCCCAAGACACCAAGGGATGTCTGCAAGGGTTGGCTGCGGGAAATGATTTCGCGGGTGCTTCTTCTGCTCAGATTTGATGCGTGTTGCAATGTAGAGGCTGCACCAAGAGGTTTTGCAAACCTACGAGGACCTACGCAGATTTGACCCGTGTCACACAAACACCTGAAGGCGGCCATGCAGTGAGTTTCCTCGTGAGAAAATCCGTCGTTTAGAAGGAAAAAAACGCTGCTCTGAAGCTACAGCCATGCGGCAAAAGATAGGCATTGATTGGCCGCAGTCAGAAGTTGGCTGACCGCAAAATCTCGGCTCAGAAGACTGCACCCCGCCAAAAAAACAATATTGGGTCAAACGAAATGATTTCTGGCGCAAATTTTGACCATGTTTGATAGGTACTGCACTTATTACTATCTTAACTCCATAGTTTGAACCATATCGACCTATCTTAAAGCTTTGTAGGCCAAAGTCTCTCTTTGCCAGCGAATCTTCTCCAGCCAATCTTTGATTTTGCCGAGATCAATTTTCCTTTTTGACTCTTTAGAAATTTGAGCTCGACCGATGCGGATGGTGGATCTGGTGCAAGCACCACTTGGATCACATGGCGATGAACCACACATCGCTGCTTCACAGCTCAAAGGAAGTCACTTCAATGGCAGGCGGGCGATCTAAGCCTGGGCAGGGCTTTTGAGATGCTAGTCCGCCAAATTTTGGTATAGGATGGTATTGGTTTTCAGACATACATTATCCCCAATCACTAGTTCCCCACCTGCCAGGTGAGGGTTGTTAGATTTTATCAGAGCGCATGCCCGCCTCCTCCTCCTCCTCCTCCTCGACTAGCTGTCCTCCTCGCTGTCCTCCTCGCCTCCGCCTCTTCCACCTCCACTTCCGCCTTGCTCCACCTCCACTTCCGCCTTGCTCCACCTCCACTTCCGCCTTGCCAACCTTGCCAACTCGTCGCCAAGCTCTTCGCCAACTGCCCAGCCCAGTGCGCACTGCTGGACGTCAACCTGCGAGCTGCCCAGCTCAGTGTGCACCGCCGGACCTCAACCTGCGAGCTGCCGAGCTCAGTGTGCACCGCTGGACCTCAACCGGGGACCTGCCCAGCTCAGTGTGCACCGCTGGACCTCAACCGGGGACTGGCTCAGCTCAGTGTGCACCGCTGGACCTCAACCGGGGACCTGCCCAGCTCAGCGTGCACCGCTGGACCTCAACAGCCAGATAGAATGCCAGAAGATATGCCAGATAGAATGTCAGATAGAATGCCAGAAGATATGCCAAATAAAATGCCATGAGATATGCCAGATATGCCAGATAGAATGCCAGAAGATATGCCAGAAGATATGCCAGATAGAATGCCAGATAGAATGCCAGAAGGTATGCCAGATAGAATGCCAGATAGAATGTCAGATAGAATGCCACAAGATATGCCAGATAGAATCCAA